TCGTCTACGTTACTTACTTACTTACGTTACGTTAGTTTAGTTTAGTTAGTTAAGTTAGTTAGTAGTAGTTAGTTACGTTAGTTAGTTAGTTATATCTCTCTCTCTCTCTCTCTCTCTCTCTCTCTCTCTCTCTCTCTCTCTCTAAGGATTTGTAATGATCTCTCTCTTTCTCTCTCAGACTCTAGAATATGTTGCAGAGGAGTATGGAGGCAGAGTTCAGTTGGCCAAGGCATATTATGATGGTCTAAGTAAATCCCTGGAGAAAAATTTCAGTGGGGGCGGATTGATTGCAAGCATGGAGCAATGCAATGACTTCTTCTACTTGGGAACCAGGCAAATCTCCATGGGTAGGGTAGGTGAGTCCTAATTCAAACTCTTTGAGAAAAAATTCAGTAACCACCTCATAGTTAAGAACTTTGCTTCACTCACTTGTTTAAAATTTCTAGGAAGAACAGTCACAGGTATTAGACTCTTGTCAAATTCTAGTAGAAATTTAGTCAATTTCTTCGCTGCAATCCACTAAATTCAATTCTAACATATCACTTTGGTTACTATGCAAACATCAATTTCTACGAATCTAAAACCAAAACTTTCTAAAGCCCAATCTTCTTCCAATTATCCTTTTGAAGGATGAAAACTGTTGTAGTCCCTTGAGAGAAATTCGGAGCCAATTAGATATTCAGTCCAAGACCCAAAATCTTTTATGCAATTCCTGAGTAACAGATTTCCATAATAAACAATTTTTCTTGTTATAACCCTCTGTTTGCTTTTATTTCTCAAAGGTTTCCATTAGAGAGAAACTAATGTAACCTCTCTCTCTCTCTCTCTCTCTCTCAGCTCTAAAGATATTGAATTTGGTGTTCTCAGGAGATGATTTTTGGTTTGAAGACCCGAATGGAGATCCTATGGGGGTGTACTGGTTGCAGGGTGTCCACATGGTCCATTGCAGTTATAACAGTCTTTGGATGGGTCAATTTATACAGCCTGATTGGGATATGTTTCAGTCTGATCATGTTTGTGCAAGGTTCCATGGAGCTTCAAGGTCCATTTGTGGGGGTCCTATATATGTTAGTGACAAAATTGGTGGCCATGATTTCGAGCTTCTGAGAAAGCTTGTTTTACCAGATGGCACAATTCTTAGATGCATTCACTATGCCCTTCCCACAAGAGATTGCCTCTTCGAGAACCCATTGTTCGATGGCAAGACTGCTCTCAAGATCTGGAATTTGAATAAGGTACGGACATGTGCGTTTGATGAAAATTTAGTGGGTTAACAATCTCTCTGGCGAAACCTTAGTTGGGGATTAAGGAGACAAAATCATATTTTGTTCCTTAAATTTATGGTAGAGATTGTGGGTCATTTGTTTGGTATTATTTACCCATTAACTCAATTTGTTGTGTGTGTTAATGAGCCCTTTTGAAGTTTGAACAGTCCAGAGTTTCAACCTCTAAGCTCAGTCATTCAGTATAAACAAAATTTGTGTAATTCATTTAGGATTGAATTAATAACCTAACTTTCACACCCTGAAGTATTTTTCCTCCCTTTCCCACACAAAAACCTCAATCATGGTTACAAATTTCTCTCTCACAAAACTGTTCTTCAAATTTAAATCATGATTCCATCTTGTGTAGTTTCAAAGGACAAAATTTGATCTATTCTGCAGATTATCACTATTTAATTGGTATAATATGCAGTGTGGAGGAGTAATTGGAGCATTCAACTGTCAAGGAGCAGGCTGGTGTCCAAAGGAGCACAAGAGCAAAGCTTATCCTCAGTGTTACAAAGCCATCGCTAGTTCCATTTCTTCAGATGACATAGAATGGGAGCAAAGGCCAGAAACCTTTCACATGAGAGAATCTGATGAATTTGCAGTTTATCACTGTGAAGAAGACGAGCTTCAAATAGTAAGCTCGAAATCCTCGATCGGTTTCACTCTCAAGGAATCTACCTTTGAGATTTTCACAATGGCACCTGTGCAAAAGCTTGGGTCTTCGACGAAATTTGCAGCCATTGGCTTGACCAATATGTTCAACAGTGGAGGAGCCATTGAAGAGTTGAAGTGCGAGACGGATGATGAAGGTTCTGGAGTGAGAATTGGGATCAAGGGAGCTGGTAGATTCACAGCTTACTCTAGTGAGAGGCCAAAGGGGTGCATTTTGAATGGGAAAGAGAGAGAATTTGTATGGGATAGTGAGAGTGGGAGGCTCTGGTTTGAAGTGCCATGGATTGGAGGTGCAAGTTCCACTGCCATTGTCCAATTCTAGCTTCAATCCCATCTTCACCCACCCCACTGTCTGTCCATAAAGGAGTTACCCAAAATCAATTTTTAACTTTTCTCTTGAATTCTCCATTTTATCCTTTTTTTTTTGTTACAAAAAAAGCTTTTTCTTACTAGAAAATTGGGAGGGCTCAGAAGGAAGCCCAATTTGGTTGGGAGGTCTTTTGTTGGGAGTTCTCTACTCTTCCTTCAATTTTTTTTTCCCTTTTCCATAGGCTTTTATTGGACTTATTGGGCTTATTGCTTCTGATATATGTAAATATCCGAATTCTTTTGTAATCATTTTATTTTTCTCTTTCTTGCTCAAGGGTAGGGTGTGGCTTTGGTTGTTGTTTACTGTGACATTGTTTGGGTTTTCCATTTTTTTTATGTGGTGTAAATTGCAGAGATACTGCTCCCTTTTGTATATTTTTGTAAATTGGCATCAAGCTTTGTTATTGTAATCATTCATATGTTTTTACTTATTAATAAAAGGGCATTTGCCTCTTGTTTCTGTATATAAATGACTCAAGAACCCATTACTAGTTGCCTAATCTCTATATCTCACCTCATGGTTCAACTAAAATTTATTGCTGGCAGGCAAAAAATGGAAACCACAAAAATTTATAGATGATGCTTGACAAAAGTGCTTAGAATTTCTAGACAGTAGATGATATGATTGAAATTTTGACAAGGTTGAGCCTTCTATATTTTTGCAAACGATGGATGAGCCTCTCATTATGGGTGAAAAAGTCGAGTGTTTACAGTACTTTGGCAAGGCTGTAATTAGTTATTATCACAAAAATCACATAAGTTTCTTTAAAATCGGAAATTCTATTGCACCTTCATCTTCAACTGCTTAAAATTTTTCTCTAAGTTTGAAAATTTTTAGTTTTAACTTTCTTAGCCGACCTCAAAATTGTTGAGACCAGTGACACCAAAATGAATGTATTAAGAGGTTTTGTTCCTTCCCCAGATGAAGATTTACTTGAATAAAAGAAGAATGTGAGTAATTATGCAAGTTCCAATGTTGTATAGAGTTTTTTAATTTTTTTCAAGTGAGTTGGTGAGGAGAGGGCCCCTATCTTTACTAGGAATTGAATCTAGGACAAAGCGTTGCAAATCGTCAAGCTCTAACCAATTAAGCTTAGGTGGAATTGAATCTAGGACAAAGCGTTGCAAATCGTCAAGCTCTAACCAATTAAGCTCAGGTTTTTTTTTCCTAATTTTGTATAAGGTTGATATTATTTTCTGTTTTGTGAGACTCTACATCTTTAAGGAACAAATATCCTCCCGTTACCAAAAAGTAGGATATTATAGGTTGTATATATATTAACAGTGGAAGAATTGGAAATGTGGTTGATGCATCGGTAGTTATTCGGGCTGATGCCTCAACATAATGTCTCATCCTCCATGCCCAATGGTAAAATATGAACGAAAAGAAAAATCTCATCTTATAAGACTCATCCTCCATGCCCAATGGTAAAATATGAACGAAAAGAAAAATCTCATCTTATAAGACTCTTATGTAAGGCATTGTTGGTGTGCTTTAGAAGGTCATCACATCATAGTAGACTCCTCTGCAAGCAATGCAAGGATGAGTTTTTCAAATTTTTATTTTATTATTGTAAATTTTTATTTTATTATTTTTAATTTTTTATAGGTTTAGGGTTATTTTTGTCTTTCCTAAGTTGTACAAATTTTGAGTGTAAAATTAAAAAAATTATTTTATTTTAAATAAAACGATAGATATTGGTGGTTACAAGAGAGATGAGGGAGTTAAAAGGAATCTTTTGTATTTATAAGATTTAGTTAATACGGAGAGAGATTTTATGGGGACTCACATTGAATTGAGAAATAGAGAGATGTATATGAGGTTAAAGAGAGATTTACATGAGGCTAAGGAGAAAAAATAGGCAAGATACAGAGATAGAGAAAATATGTGGGGAGATGAGGTTTTTGTTGGTTTTTCTTTTATCTTACTTTCTATTAATTTTTTTAGTTGTATTTAAAAGGAGAGGATCTCCCACTTCGAAACAAGGTTATTTTGAGAAGAAAAAAATTGTTTTGATCTTGAAGAGATCTTAGGTGGACTCCTTTGCCAAAGTAGTATATTATTTCATCCTTTTGTTACTATTTTTATTTTAATTATGTTTCTTCTATCTTCCCTTCATATTCTCTGCATCAATTGATATCAAAGCTAAGATATTAGAGCCTTGAGATCCATAAAACATGATGCTTTCACAGACATCTAGAGATCCAGTTATGAAGTGCATATATCAAATAGTAAACTGAGAATATCAAAAATTTGAGAGAATCATAAAAAAACCTGATATGTCTTATAAGATTTATTTAGTAGATTGCAACAGGACGAGGAAGAACTTGAAGTGGTAAATCTCAATATAAAAGATGTAGAAAATAATGAAGAAGAAAATTTGCTAGTTGCAATATGTGAAATACCACCCTTTAAGATCAAAAGAGAAATCCAAATCAAGTTGGGTATTTCAGAGATCTATTACAAGGTGGATATTAAGTGTTTGGGTCATTTGTTTTATTGAAGAAAAAATACCAAGATGAATGGTTGGATTGTATTACCAACCATTGGAAACACTATTAGATGAGCTTAAATCGTCAAGTTCGAGGTCGAGCTTCTTCCAACCCTTGGAGAATGATGCAATGAGTTTTTGAATTTTTTTTTTTATTTTGCTATTGTTAGTTTTTTAAGTTTAAGGTTATTTTTGTCTGATATTATTGGTTACAAAAGAGATATGACAGAGTTAAAAGGGATTTTTTATATTCATAACCTAATAAAAGTGAGGACCTTAAAGTTTTCCTTAGCCATCCAAGGCTAGGGCAAAAAAGGTGAATTCCGTTAGGTAAGCATTCAACATAAAACTTTGCTACATCTTATCTTGAATCCTAAGCCTATAGCTGACCCCAGATCATTAGGATAAGGCTTGGACAATGATGAATTGATGTAGAGAGAGATTTTTAAGAAGGCTCACATTGGATTGAGAAAAAGAAAGATTTACATGTGGTTAAAAGAGAAAAACACGGAAGATAGAGAGAGAAAAAATGTGGGGAGATGAGGTTTTTGTTAGTTTTTCTTTTGATCTTATTTTTTAGTAATTATTTTAGTTGTATTTAGAGAAAAAGATGTCATTCTTTGAAACAAAGTTATTTTGAGAAGAAAGAAATTGTTTTGATATTGTGGGGAGATCTTTAGATTGGGCTTTCTTGCAAACCTAAGAGAGAGTATATTATCTCATCTTTTTATATTTTTTTTATTTTAATTATTTTTTTCTCATCTTCTCTGCATTAGTTTCTTATAGAGAAACAATTGTCATAGTGATTTTAGGTGGTATCTTCTTTAAAGATTAAGTTGTGGTTTTTCTCTTAATGTTCTCTTTGTGGCAATGGTTTAGCTGGAGATTTTAGGTGCTATCCCCCTTCAAAGAGAGTCGTGGTTTTGCTCTTAGTATTCTCTTCTTGACAATGGTTTAGCTGTGAGAAAGAGATTGGTGATTAGCAATATCAGTTGGGAGATCCAAATGCTAACTCTATTTTTTTAAGCTTGTATTCTAAATTTTTTTAATGTTAAAAAAAGAAAAGGAGAAATGTCAGTCGGGAGATTGGGCTTAACAAAGATGATTAACAATTTAACATTGCATAATCATGGGGGTTAGAAAGGTACCTTTTATATCCAAAACAAGTCGCATCAATATATTTTATTTTTATCATGCCTCTAGATGTGATATATTTGGGATGAACCAAATATATCATATAATCTCTAGGCATTCTAGGTTATTAAAAGCAATTAGTGCTCTATACAGGTAATGTCACAATTTATGTAGATGATGTCATTATCTACTATAGTTAATAAATATTTCTCTATTTATTAAAATTTTATATTTTCTCCTTGATTAATTACTTAAAATACCGCTAAACTAAAAAGTTACAATATTGTAGGGCACATGTAACAAGTGTTAAAAAAATTGTTTACATTAAGGAAAAAATTACCCTAACAAAACCCTATTCAAATAGTCCATATTCTTGTTCAAGCAAGAATCTAAGTGCGTCTTTGAAACCAACATAAATGTCGAATTTTCTTAGCCCTAGTCAACAAGAAATAGGGTTTGCCTTAGACACGGAATTTTGGTCCAAAATTTCAAACTAAATTGAGTTCTAGAAACTATATATTCTCCCAAATGGGGACAAAACTCCATATCCAAAAATTTGGGCCATTAGGGAGAAGTGGGGACTGCAAATCAAACCAAATCTTCAACAAACACTATCCAACACTCGACGCTTTGTTAATTGAAACAGTAAATTGACCTTTTCTTTTTCTTTTGATTATTATTATTACTAATGTTATTTTATTGTAGCTTTTCTTTTTCTTTTGATTATTATTCTTAGAAATGGTATTTTATTATAGGACGGTTAGGAAACTGCCATGTGCACGTAACTACCAACATGTATTAATGTCTGGTTTCCTGGGGTCGACGCACAAGCTGGGCTAGATCAGATCCTGACCGTTTGATTTGGTTCATGATGGGGTGTAAGATATGTGCTGGTTGCATCCTGATCGTTCGATTTAAATTGTGACGGGCTGCAAGGCCACACCATAATGTGAATGTTAGAATCATAGATGACCTACCGAAGGATAGATTTCACCTAACTTGAAGATAATATTGAAAATGATTTGAAATGGACACCAAAGTTAAAGTGCCATGAAGAAAGCAAGAAGAAACTGGAACATGAGGCACTTTCGTCTTTTACAATCCGGTGTTGAAATAGTAGGGGTGGCAATGGACCCAAACCTGACCCGGGTCCGAGTATGGGTCCAAAAATAGGACCGAATCTGGGACCAATGTGAATAGTATTATTATTTAATAAATATTTAATATATATTATTTTAATAATATTTAATAAATATAATTATGTATCTTTAGTTTGGAAAAAGTTTATATAAGTGTGAGGCTCTAAACAATCAAATTGGGGTGTACATCAAAAATTTCACTAGAAGAGGTTGTTTGGATGCCCAAATGTCTTCAAATGATCATCTCGACCTCAAGATGCATGGTCATGATAAAAAAATGGATTTCAAGTTTTGGAAATAGGGCATCTTGGGACGCATTTTTTGACCGTCAATTTTCAACATTTTCAATTGTTTATAAATGTGCTCTATCTACACTATTTTTGAAGCATTAAATTTTATAATTAGATATGAAAATATATTTTATGTCTATCACAAAGATTTTCAGTATTGAAATCACATTTCTTGATACTATTTGTAGGTGTACTTTACGTGG